CCTCACCATTGTTTTTCCTAGTCTCATTACAGCAATGAATAAAATCGGACACTTGATCATTTATTATCCCCATATTCGAGACAGAATCATGGAGCCCAGGCTGTAAACAAGCACATCCTCCCTATGAGAATCCCTTGCATCCGAGTGCAAATATACTTGAAAGGATTTTCTACGAACTTGATTACGTATATCAACTTTAGCTTTCGTTTCTAGGAGACAGAAGGACCATTCTACCCCCAGCGAAGGAAAGGAGAATTTGAGTACTCTGCAGAGCAGGAAAGGAATGACCATTCCCTGAAAAGTACTAAAATTAGTACGTTTAGAACAATAAGTATGTTCCTTTGCCGTCATTAATGACCCATAATTGGTGGGAATGAGCTTTCCAATGAGTGACATTGCAATGTTGGCCCCCAATGTTCAGCCCGTGTTAAACTTCAACGTTCATCTGAGTATATCAATAAGCGACATTGAAATATTGACTTAATGTTAGATGTAACGCCACCACAACGGAGGAAATTTACATAATTAACGTTCATACAACGCTGATCGAATGTTCCTTTGCTGGGAAGACGTTTCGTGCAGAAAATACGAAACGCATTTACAGTCTCGTTAAGAACTCACCTTTTCTACATGAGAATTCTTAATGTAAATTGAAGCCATAACTTGTGCTCCTGCCTTGCGTCAGCAACCTTTTAAAATGATGGGAGGATAAATTCGGTAGGGCTAGAAAGTAAGACAACATGGAAAACAGTATCGGGCTGTACTCCGCAGCATTAAACTCCTCCTCCTTCGATGGTTCTAAGTAAGTCATGATTTATGCAGAATATTTGCATTGCAGTGTAGAACTATCATTTCAGAAACTGAGAATCCATTTTTTTTTAAATAAAAAGATTATTTTATGCCTGCCTCTCCTTGCTTTTTTGTTGAAAGAGTATGTCAAATGGTGCTCTTCCCGATTTCATTTCTAGTGAGCTTCAATGCGGCTGTTTCTTCGTGGGTTGGGGGAGGGTGAGGGGGCGTCGCAAAAGGGTGATTCATGTATTCTATGGATTCTATCATACGAACATCCACGGGATCTCCTCGCTTCCATGAGATGTGTAAATGAGAAAATAAGAAGGCACATTTTCCCAACAGATATATCTTCTAATACTTTAATTGAAAGAGGCCGAAAGCGGTGGTGAATGATTGTCACTTCTACGCCACCTAACACGGAAGGCCTACAAGGCTCTGCCATAAAAGCTTTGGTATACTTTTAATCTCCATTTAAAAGACTCACCCTGTATATGGCAATTACTACAGGGTGTATCAAGGGTCCTGCCCACCGTTTGAAAAATAATTACTTCGCAATGCTAACTTTGATTGAGACGTGGTTTACACCATTTGGAAGAAGAGATAATTCTCATCCAAGTAAAAAAAAAAGTCTGCACTTTTTGTCGATGGTATCTTTTTCCTGAGACGTAATTTGATTTCCTTTCTCAGGGGTCACTTAAAGGCGTTCACATTTGAAAACACGCCTGCGGCGCTGAGTCACGTTGTCTGTCGTGTGTCTGATGATTTGTGTCTCCAATGTAATCGATTCCAATTGAAAGGAGTAAGAGGAAAATGACGGGGGAACGTTTGACTGTCGATAATCGTGTACCAATTTTTCAGCTTTGCTCCGAATTCGGCCAGAGCGTAATGGAAATCTAACAAATCTTTGCCTAACAAACAATTTAGTGAACAAATTCGGTGTTTGGTCGAGAGCATCGCGAACGCGACGCGGAATTGCTGAGTCGGCGCGCAATTTTGTGCCCGAAAAATGAGCATTCCCGTTTGGTGAAGGAAGATGTTCTGTCTCGTTTGGAAGGTGCATCGAGAACATACAAGAGTACTAACAGTGTAAAGGTAGATCAGGGTGAAGACGATGATCGAGAGTAGGTCAGCTTTCCCGTCGAGTTCCTCAATTCGTTGAACCCATATGGTTTACCGCCTCGTGATCTCAATCTTAAAGTCGGTACCATTCTCATGCTTCTTCGCAACCTGTCTATTGACAATGGCATTTGCAATGGCACTCGATTGATCGATGACGTTATATTTCATCTCAAACAAAGTCGAGATTATCACCGGTGGGCGGCGCGGAAACTTGCATTTACTGCCACGAGTGTCACACGACACAGCGACCGACCCGAGTATTCCCTTCAATATGTGCCGAAGACGATTCCCGATTCGTTTGGCTTATAGTATGACCATCGACAAAGCTCAGGGACAAACGTTTGATATGGCTGGTGTCTTGCTGCCGGAGCCCGTTTTCTCTCACGGTCAGCTATATGTTGCGTGTTCTCGAGTCCAGTCTGCCGATTGCCTCAAAATCCAAGCGGTCGATGGGCAAGGGCAAGGCCCGGCCGATAATGGCGATTTAACTGAAAATGTGTACAAGGAAGTGTTGTAGATTCCAAATTCCAATTTCTTTCAGAAATCGGTTTTGCTACCAAATTTTGTGATCTTTATTTCAATTTTCAGAATTATATTTGCCGTGATTTCTTCTACAAATCTAGCTAATACTTCAGATTTTGTGATCATTTTTCTCATATTGATTTCCATATAATTTATTTTTCCTCATTTGTCGCTTTTCGAATTTGAAATAGTCTTTTCCATTCATGATTCATTTCTTCATTCGTGATTTATTTGTGAGGTGTGCTCTCGATGATAATACAATTAACTGGGCCTTCAAACTGGGCCTTTAACACCTTCAAACTTCTCGAGGTTTGTTTGAAAATGTGTAATGTTTGGTTTGAACCGAATTGCTTCATATCTTTCAGAAAAAAATTTTCACATATACGCCCATTAGACGGCCAGCGTAGCGGCCACAGGCCGCTAGTAATACTTCAATCGAAAGAGGACAAAAGTTGTAGTAGCTGTCCTTTCTAACGTGCGGGGCCTACGATGCTATGCCATTCGAGGCCATAGGCTAGGCCATAAACACTTAGGTATACTTTGAATCCACATTTGAAAGACTCACCTTGTAGATGGCAATTACTACTGGGTGTTGCAAGAGTCCTGCCCACCTTTTGAAAATTAATTATTTCGTAATGCTAGATTTGATTGAGACGTGGTTTACTCCATTCGAAAGAAGAGATAATTCTCTTCATTCGTGATTTATTTGTGAGGTGTGGTCTCGATAATGATAAAATTAGCTGGACGGCAACACTTTCAAACTTCTCGAGGGACTCCTTTTTCGGTCGTTCTGCCCTAGACCGCTGTTACCTTGGCCTGACGCGCGAGTCCTGCTAGGCTATGCCTTTAAAGGCCGTAGGCTAGGCAGGACACGGGTACGCATCCACAAGCGTACTGGTACGCATAGCAGTACGCATGTGGATGCAAAGGGGTCTGGAGGCTTTTTTTTAATTGGAAGTCTGAAAGCGATGGCTTTGTTTTTGTGTGTTCCCTTTTTCCAAAAAATAATATGTCGTTTTGAGGAAGAGTGAGCTGTGCGAAAAAGACTACCTTCTATAATCCATCATTACATTTCATTCCCTTGATGAAGCATTCGTTTTCGTTTGTTTTGCAAAACTATGAACTACACAGTAAAATTATGAGGGGAAAAAGAGGCATTCAGGGGGAGATTAAAAATCGATTAATTTCGACTAATTTTTTAAATCGCGATTAATACTTTAATCAGTTAATCGGTCGATAAATCTAATTGAATTGACAATCCTAAAAAAAAAATTGATAAAACAACACGGAACGAAGTCTAGAGTGGATTTTTGAACTGAGTGCTATCCGATAACACTATAATTTTCGAAAAAAAAATACTTTTTTTTTTATCTAAGCAGAGATTTTTTAATCGCGAATTATTTTTTTTAAGGTTGCAAAATATTTAGACACCAGTTCGTGATTTTAATGGAGTAGATCCAGAGGTCCTCTTTCGACGATAATGCTGGATCTTTTTCCAATGAACGTGCTGCTCAGGTTGCATCGAGTTCAAGGGTACCCCCTCGTGTTGAACAGCTACTATGCTTACACAGTTGAGTCTTTGCAGACGGATGAAATCCCACTGTAGACCTCAATAACGTTGAATTTCGGGAACGATACCGCTTTACGAAGACACATGTTGAGGACATACAGTAGTTGATTTGATGGAACCTAGCCTGAAATTGGGGAAGAGCAACACCGCTAGAATGACCCCTCCCCTTCCGTTGGCTCGTCTTTCGCTGCGCACTTTCACCTCCCTACGAGCCTTCATCATCGACGACTTCCCCTCCTCAGAGCACTGCAAGGGACAGGTTGCTTTGAAGCCTTTGCTCTTGGAACATCTTGAGCAAGTAAAGGCTTCATAGGCGAGCAAAGAAAGCATCTCAACATTGCAGGAGACCTTTCTATGGAAAGGTCTTGTATTCTCATGCGGTCTGGTTTTCTCTAGTTTACTCTGTACTTAATTTTATTTTTATTTTCTGGCGCTTTTTACAATGCTGAAAATTCATTCCATGTCACGTGAGGAGAGGGAATGGACCTTGCCTCCAGTGCCTCCTACCTCGCCAAAAATCCAGTGCATCAGGATTCAGAAGTATTGACCGAAACCAAGTTATCTGATTTTTGGTATTCATTTATTTCCAACCACACAGTCATCACAGAAGGAACTTTTTCTTTTGACAGAGTCATCACAAGGAAAGGATAAGTTTCAAAGAAAAATGTAAGAACACAGGTGCTAACAAAATCCTAAAATTCCTTTTCATAGTTAACAAAATCTGACTATAATTGTCTGATCACAATTAAAACAATTACAATAGCTTATTATCAACAAAATAAATAACTATAAACTCAAAAGGAAGAGAGACAAACACAAATCAAAACAAAGTAAAGAAAATGTTCATGGTTGTGGAAAATTTGTTCCTATTGGAAAAGATTGATGCTTCATCTCTGGTTCAACCACCTGCTAAGCTGGCAAAGCAGCACATGAAGCAGAGCAGGTGATTAAACCTAAAATGAGACAATAAAGGTTTCCAAAAGAAACAAATCTATGAACCCACTATCAAAATAATGATCTGCACTGCTGATCTTTGGTATGGTAATTCTTTGAGCTGGAAAGAGGAAATATGAAGCAATGCTGCTTCAAAATTCCTGAAGCCAGTGACTGGTCTGCCAGATGATGGCATAGATATCCCTATTGAGGGATGGATCCAAGGATGAGGCTCCTGCATAGCGGGAGATGAGATTCCGGTATCCCTTCCCAACTGTGGCAAGGAGACAGGATGAGGACCCACCAAGTGGGACAATGACCCGCACGTCCTCTTCGTACGGACGGAACACTGTCAGCGGGGTCATGGATCCTGCATCAGCCACAATCACACACCCCCATGTTGTTCCAACATATAACTCCCTTTCCATGATGCACAGACTTGTCACCTGCCAAGGAATGTCAATAAACATTTGTTTCTGAAACTTTCAACTGCCCAGTAGATGAAAAAAAAAATTATTTTGCAGGTTAAACTTTGAACTAAATTTAATATTTGGATTTACATATGCACAATACAATGCCAGGCAAATTCATCTTTCAATTTGAAAAACTTTGAACGAAGTTACCTGAAACTCATCAGACATACCTGGCACCTTCCTGGACTGAGATGCTCATCAATTGCAATGGAAGCCAGGGACTCTGAACAAGGAACAAGTTTGGAGCAGTCAAGTTTTCCACAAATTCTGCGATCATTGCAGCTCCACTGATAGACCAGACATCCAGGGTATACATAGGTCCAGACATAATCAGCTTCTTTCCAGGTTGTGACCTGGAGGACATCTAACTTGTCAATAAGGGGATCAGAGTGAACTGCAACATCCTGAGCTGTTACCATCCCTCCTCGCAGTGTGAACACACTCAGAAGACCCTCACTCTGCCCACACCACAGCTCACATGACCTAGTTGCCATATGAAGTGAAACTGATGACCAAAGAAATAGTGGACTCATTCACTCATTCAAACTCGTATACCAGTGCCCCAAAGGGAATGCCAGATGTCAGATTTTCAACTTATAACTCCAATTGTCTTAAAACTCTGGAGATGGAATTACAATTTCCATTTGAGCTTGCTTGTGCTGGTGGATGGAGAGAAGGTGATGCTTAAAATATTTAGGGCAAAAACCTTAAAATACAGAGTAAAAAAATATGCAATCTTTGCCTGGCAAGATGCTATAACCAGCTAAAGTTGGCAATTTAAAGTCTGAGAATCAGCCCTCCATGTACTTATAGTTCTCCACAAAGCACCATAGAATGTGCTAAAGATAGGAGAAGAAGAAAGAAATGATATGGATGAGCAGGACCCCAGAGTTTTGTTAATCTAATATAAAAAATGAGCACATGCACTTATAACTTTGATCTGTTAACCTTTTGACTGTGTAGGTCATATGCCAAATTGCATCCTGATCTGATGAAATTTGCAAGAATTGCTGAGGGACTCTGAGGGGGCAAGGGTAGAACTCAGTCAGCTGGTCCTTGAAAAAGTAGACAAAGGGTGATCAAAATTTGTCTGTAATATACTGACAGGTAATGGCAATAAATCCATGTCTCATCACCTTCCAGGATATGTTGGACAATGTTCGACCAGCAATTGTTTTCTGGTCGAACATTGTCGACCAGCAAAAATTCTTTGAGCATCAGATGGTTGAATTTCCCCCTTACTTGATTGTATACTCCTGTCAGAGAATGTAGGGTCGATCTGGCACATACCTTTTTTTCATGCAAAATGGTATTTTTTGCTCATTGACCAATGCCCAGATTGTTCTGTTAGTTGGTACAATACTCATCATTCTTCCTTTTCCAGAGCTTGGGCTTGAAGCTAATGATCTTCAAAAGTTGCTCATAGAGGTCACCATTCAAGGAGATTAATTCCTAAAAAAAATCTGTAAAAAACCAAAGCTAAAATTCACTGGGACAGCATTGAATGGCTTCAAGACTCAAGTCTATCCAAGTATTATCCAAGAAAGCCAATGGCATTTCCTAATAGGCTTTTTGTGGGGGTACTCTCCTTTGAAGCACTAAAACTCATGACTTGAAACTTGTCCATTTGGCACTCAGAACCTGGTGGCACCAGTGGGCACTGATTGCTGACAGCTTCAAATCCCCTCAGCCATTCTCGCAGAAGTCCATCAGATAGGGATACATTTTAGCATACAACCTCCATGGAGTCAGAAGGTTACGTGATGATGATGGTTGTAATTTTATACAGTCATTTTATCAAAGAGAATTATACAACTTTTTGGGTGCCCCTCATATTCCTGTAAGTGGTAACTCTTGCTAGCAAGGCACTTGTCTATAAATCTAGTCTCACCCAGGTTCCAAGAGACGGGTGGCAACTGCAAACATGGATGCAGAAGGTCCTGCCAACTCGGTGAGGAGGAAGGTGCCTTCCTCTCTCACATTCCCAGCAGGACACACAGATGGGTCACAGATGAACAGCCGTCCATTAGCTAGGGCAATGGCCACTCGAGTCATTGAAGGAAGTGCCACAATGTGCCTTACAGGTGATGGCTCTGGGGCATCTGATTCCAATGTATACTGGAATTGGAGGGAAAAGTCAAGCACCGAATAGGATCTGAGGGTTCCACGAAGGTCTCCAGTCCAGATGGAATCTGACGAGATGGCTGACATTGCTGTCACTGTCTCTGGGATCCCTGGAAGTCCGTGATAGGATTTCCAGCAGTTCTCACTTTCATCACAGGACAAGATGTCTAATGCACAGCCACACCGGCTCAGCCATAATTCTGTCTTGTGTCCACCTGGAATACAGATTTTATCAATTGATTTTTTACACCTCAAGCACAAGGAAAAAATCATCATAGAGCAATTGATGCTCTATGATGATTTTTTCCTTGTGGAACTCAACATTTTTGACCAACAATATGAATATAAAATCCAAATATAATAAGAAGCTTGTTGGCAACATTCCATTAAATATTTTCTCATAAAATATTCTGCTATTCACAAACCTGGTCACTATGATGGATTGGTAATACCTCTTTTTGCAATGTTCAATCAGAGGATATCAAATCCATTTAGGGGACTGAAAGGCACTAGAGCAGAAACAGATAAGACAGTAATTCTTAAAATACTATCTGCAGGAAGGAATCAATAGTTTTACCAAATTATTCTAGCATTCATCATAAGTGGATTGACATTGCTCCAGTTGTATGGAACTTCTTTCCACATTGACTTCAATCAGAAGAAAAGCACTTTACCAATGGAGAAGTTTGCAGTGGTAACACAAGTCTTGCAAACAGGTTCTTTGACTTAGGAAAGAATCACTTGATAGATTACAGGAAGGAAAGAAGGCACAAAGAAGGTGGTAGGCAAGACCTGGTTCAGTGACAGTGGCACAGAGGATGGCCTTCTGAGTCTCAAGGGACACAACGTCGATAAGACGAAGGAACTCAGGAGCGGAGGCAACAGAGACGATGTGTGCAGCTGAGGGTCTTGAGCTGGGGCATCCTGACCAACAAGCTGTCATTAGGTCCAGTACATAGCATGGGTATAGCCGTGTCTCCTGCACCAACCAGAGGGAATTGACTTATTACACAAATATTGACAAAAAACAATCACATTGCACAACAGCTCTAATCTTGTGCAAATCAAGAGCAAGAAGAACCTCATATAACATTTGACTCAGAGCATGTAGAGCTTTTGGACCCATGATTTATAACAGCTAAAAATTTGACCAGGGTACAAGTGCTATATTTTTCTCATGAACAATGACACTTACAGCAGAAGCATGGTAAATTCTAGGGGAAAGCACAAGCTAGGCAATCTTGTATACATCCCAGATACTGAGAAAACATTACACTCCTGATTGATGAAGTGCTTGCTAAAGTATATGAGTCCTTCGTTATGGAGACCATCAGCTAAGTACAGTGAGACCAACCACCTCATTTGTCCCTAGTTAGGTTTTAAGAGTAGCAATCAATCTGTGACTTTCACCCTACAATACCTTAACACATACTTCAAAAACTTCAAGCTTCTTATATTTAAAAGTAGATGGGGTGATGATATGAAGACCATGTGCTAAGAAGAATAACATCATCACTGGTTGTGTTTTCCCTTGTTAGTAAGAACTCTATGTCCCTCACACAAGTCCCATGCAACGCACAAATGAGATCGTGCTTTATCCAACTCATCAAACTACCGTACTTACTCGTGTATAAGGCGCTTTTTTTTTATTACATATTTTATTGTGTTCGGTGAGGGGGTGCGTCTTATACTCGAGGAAAAAAATTCTCCTTTTCAAAAAAAAAAAAAAAAACTTTTCAGCGTACCTATAACTCTTTGGTCACTTATTGAGGCGGAAACAGTGTCTGCAGTTAGTCAGAATAGGGGAAATATAATATTATAATAATAAAACAGTAAACAGGGAGTGGCTACGTCGATTCGCGGACTTCATTCGGTACCAGAATCAGAATATGAGGTGTCTGGCAGCGCGGAAAATTCATTCGCGGAGCTTTCATCCTCCTCCGAGGGGCCGTTCCAGAGACAATCATTTCTCATGAAAAATTTGGAGCTGCTGAGGTTTTTTAACGAGGAGAAAATTCAACTCGCTTCATGAATCGCCTCCTCATGTTGCATTGAATTTTCGATGGGAGATCCCGTTTGCTCTTGCAATCGTACGGGTTCGCGTCTACATCACTCTAGTTTTACACATAGACCATCCTTTCGAGGCCAAAAACCGGCAAACAGCGCCAGAAGAAAGCGAAATGTTTATGCGGTATGTTTCATCGAGGATTTTACTACAGAAGTACGGACTCACACACGTATTCGGCCACTTCCTTCTTGATTACCGGAAATGATCCCTTTTTCCCCACGAAAGACCGTGAGATTCTTTAGAGCCCGGCTCAATTTCGCCTTCACCTCCATCCGCTTCCGTATACAGCTTTCCTCAATGTCATACGACCTATTGCACGGATGCCCAACTCCTTCGCTTCCTGAATCACATTGATTTCTCTGCAGCTGTGTAACTTCGCCGTACATTTCCATCCATTTTCACGGATAATATAACGAGCGTTAGGGATACTGAGGGATGACTGAACCCCCTCGATAAAGGTCAGGACAGTGAATAAGAAACGAGATTCGACCGACCTCACGACCGGCCTTACCCCTTATTCACCTCCCTTGTCCGACACTTTTCGCTACGAAATAGGGTGGTGCGCCTTATACACGGGGAATATTTTTACACAAATTGGGACCTCAAAAGCGGGGGTGCGTCTTATACAAGGTGGCGCACTATACTCGAGTAAATACGGTATATATTCAGTCTCATCCACACTTAGGGGTTAAGAGTTTATGCGCATAATTCATGATTTGACTGAAATAAGTCATATCAAGAGTTCACTGACAGTTTGACAATTGGCAAGATGACTGGCAGGACTGGTAGGAAACAGGATGTTATATCAGTCTATTGAAAAAGGACTGATGTAACATCCTGTTTCCCCAGTGTTCATCCAGTGTAGTTGCAAGAGGGTACGGAGAACCTGGTTTGAGAATGTATCTCCAATTATAAACATGTACACTACAGCAAGGTGAAACTTTTTTGTTTTTTCCTAAAGGTGTCAAAGCCAACCAGATGGACAGATCCTTGGGTGTTGCAGCATGGAAACAATGCCTCATAGTCCGTGAATGAGTGAATTTAAATAGGTGCAAATGCTTACCCTGAGAGTGAGGGGGGGTCTCCCACCTTCCAGCATGGTCTCTTTCACTGATTCAAAGCCTTCAAATGGTTGTCTCAGGCTCACCAGCTCATACATCCACATCCCAAATGAGAAACAGTCCACCTGGTCAATGACAAGACCCATACTACCCATATCATTCAAGTTCACTTCTGCTAAGAGAATGAGTTATTCCTTTCTTTTACCCATCCCCATTGCCACAAATGCCATGAGAACTACACATCATATTTAATTCCATGTTCACTATTTTTTATTTCTTGCCAGTTCTCCCAATCCTTCAAAAATAAGTCCTCATTGCTCCACTATTTCTCTCTTCTTAGAGAGGTGCAAAAATTATTCCAATAAAAATAGCAATAATTTATAATAATCATGCAAATGTAAAACTATTGCTAATTATTTACTTCATACAAATTCTAAGTCATCCATGCTTTCCTGATGGGTCAAAAACCAGACTAAATGACAGTGAAAAATTGGCTGGCAGGACCATCAGAACCTATTGTATAGAATACAAGGGATATTAACTTACAAAAACATAAAACATATAGGGATATTAACTTACTTCAAATTTTCAAATTGATAGTAAACTTAGGAATTAAATTCATCATGATCTCCTCAACCATTCTTAGGCTAGTGCATTCATGTATTACATGAATGCACTAACAACATGAACTAGGGAGTTGAGAAAAAGAAATGTCAAAGCTAACAGTATACATAAGCAATATTAAACTTCATGGAAGGTGACAAATGTGTGGGGATACCTTTTCATTGTATTCTTCCTCTCCATTGAAGCGAAGGATTTCAGGAGCCATGAACCCTTCAGTGCCTCCAAACCCTTTTGAGCCTGTGGGGAGAGTGCTCCGACTGATCCCATAATCACCAAGCTTTGCATGGATCCGGGCCATCCATCGACCAGGCTCCACTTCCTCAGTTGGAACTGGGAGGGCCCAGACAAGCACATTCTCTGACTTCAAATCCCGGTAGATGATGTGCTGCTGATGCAGATACTCCAGGGCACGACCAATCTGGATGATGAGAATCTGGACAACAATGGGGTGCACTTTGGCACCAGATCGACGGTAGTCTTTGAGTCGTGCATCCAGGGCACCCAGTGGGGCCAGTTCGAGGACCAGAGCTAAAGGTTTTGCAGTCATCCCCACTAAGGAAACTATGTGGGGGTGTCGGAGGGAGGACAGAATCTGCAACTCCTGTCTGGCAGTTGTATATGCCTTGCATGCATATTGGAGAGGTTCACGATCCCATTTGCTTTCTGCTGCCTGTTTCAAAGACCAAATCATGAATTCTTCAAGGATCAGTAAAAAAAAAAAAAGAAAAAAAGAGAGACTCTACATCTCAAGAAAACATGACCCTGACTGCTCATCTTTGAAGGCCATTCCAAAAGGCTGAAGTGTTATTTGTCAATCAAGTAATAGGTGAGAATTAAAGTGAAGCAATATTGGCACATGATCACAAAATCTTAGCTGAAGAAATGCTTGGAGTTGAATCATCTCACTAGTAGTACAGGAGTAGTGATCACATAAATATGACTGCATGTGTTGGTGATGAAACATAGTTTTGCATTCAAACACTAGTGAAAATTCACATGTTCTTTTACCCAAATGTGACTTTTCTGCAAAGAAGTTAGCGAAAGAGCAGCATATGCCATTGCACATGTTTGGGAGATTGAGGTATCTCCTATTGAGTTCATACAACACTGTATAATGTAACTGCTGATGTGTCTTCAACATGTGATATGGTGCAGAGATCAGTTCTGGCTTTCAGACATGGCAACATAAGCATGTGTAATACACCCCAAGTTAAACATTCTGCAACAATGTATGATGAATGCATGCAGAAGATTAATGACACTCTTCAACAAAACAGATGTTGGACTCAGATACAACTTTTTCCCAATATAGGATACCCAAAAGTCAGGGCATCATATCCTTGCAGTGCCTGGAAAATGAAAAATCTGTGGAGAGACTGCATTGTCTGGATGATCCACAGTGCTGCATCTGCATATCCACAGTGTTTTCATGAGGATATTAATGTTTCTGGCATGGCATTATTCCAATGATAAAATGTGGGTCTATTCATATTATCCACAGCACAGTTGGAACATTGGAGTGAGAAATTGGGGGTTCTAATATTTCCAAAACCATTGAAGTTCAAGAAAAAGCAAGGCATCATAAAACTTACATTTGTTGCTTCCTCTGCTCTGACTATAGTGGCATTATCTTTCATCATTCTGTTGCCAAGAAAACCACAGTCTATGGTGCAGAGTACAATTCTACAATACCATTTATGAGCTGATATTAATATGAAACAATATGAACTTCTGGCCAATGGATCATTGCTACATCATGCAATTCCATGTAGCAAGTATGATGTTCTAGACATGCTTCATGAGTGGAACTGGAAAATCCACAGCACCCACCATATTCACCCAATCTGCCAATCTGTCACTGTCAGACTCCTTTCCCTTCTCAAGAATGAGTGAACTTCTTCACATTCATGAGTTTGAGAGCTTCAATGCTCAAAGCTGCAGCTTTGTGGCTTTCCTCTAATACAACAATCAAAAGGGGATCTAAAGAATCATATGATATAGTGAGGAGATACACATAAGGTGAAGTTATTGGATAATGATATAGTAGAGAACAGAGAGCAGAACGGTTTCTGGTGCATATGCTGTTCACTGCCTGGAGATGCAACAAGTGAGACTCCAGATATTTAGTTTTTCACTTGCTGGCATTGTGTAGATGAGATAAATGAGCAGAAACCTCTAGAGAGCATGAACTTACGTTTTCCCACATAGATCATACCTTGTAGGCAAGGAGGTCAGCTGGTGGTGCCACAGATCCTGGTGAGACTGGCTGGAGCATCTTCAAGGCAACATCCAGAGGGGTATTCCCAGAGACCCGCTTGGAAAGACATGTTCCCTGGAAGACAAAGCCGAATGCTCCCCGTCCAAGGAGCCGCCCCCTCTTCATTGCTTCTGGATGAATGAGATACTGGTCCCCAAGATCAAGGAACACCAAGTCAGGGGCCAGGTGACGTAAGGATAGGTTCTTGTGCACTGGGCAGATGACTGAAGAGGAAGTTGAAAAAGTGCTGAGGATGCAGGACTCCACAGTGAAGCAGTAAACAGGAGATGGTTGGATATCTTGAGATGCAGATGAGCGGTCACGTGGAGATCGACACCGGTTCCAAGCTCCTTCTTCTGATGCTTTCTGACTAAAATATACAAGCAAACATATTTGTGGCTGAAATAACATTTACCTCCTCAAATTCCACAGTTCAAAAGTGAGATATGTAAATGAGGGTCAATGTGGAGGCTGCTTATCTGCAGTGGTAAATCTATGCAAGCTAGTGTATTGCAGTGTAGCAAGTTCTGTAACATTCTTTACAAATTAAGAATTTTAACAAATTTGAAAAACTGATCTTAACACCATCTGAAATAAACCATCTACAACAAGATATTAATTAGCCCTCTGTTAGTCTTCCAGGATCTAATGAGCCCCAAGTGAAATTGAAACGACTTCACCGATAAGTGGGAGGACTAAGAGAGGGTTAACATCACTTTTTTTTTTAACCAAATGCTTCTAACATAAACCTGATGAGGGTTTGTGAGGAATGGAAACAGCAAAGAAGAGTCCATGTCCAAATTGGACATGTCAATACTGACTACAGATCAACCAATATATCAGTCGCTGATATAAATAGGCCAATAAAGGCACATTAGCATGAATTCACATAGGCAATTCATGCATTTTGATTTTGGCTAGTATCAAGTACAGAGTTATGTATGATCTATCCAGTACAAGAAAAATATTACTACAACTAGCTTTTCCACACCCATACGGCAACCCTGGCATGAGTTATAAAGGCAACATGGCATCATCAAGAGCAAGGAACCACAGAACTGTAGCTCTCTTTCTGTTCCTGGTCTAATACATAGAAGTTGGGCTATGGGAAGTTCAACAGCTAAAAAGATAGACCTTTGCATTAAGGGTATGCTTTGCCTAAGCATTGTAGCAAAATGTCATACTATGTGTGACATTTGGCTACAATGTTCTGACCTATGATTGGATATATATGCCATATGTCCAAAACATGTTGCATTTTGGTCTCAGAAACAGTCCCACTGGATACAATATGCTCACAGATGGAACATTACGACCACAGAAGCTATGATGGACCAAGATACATGTAATGAGAAGAAATGTGTGCCCTTCATGTGGCATCCATCAACTTGCAGGCAGTAACGTATGTGAGAGACCATGTGCTCCATCACATAATGGCACTCGGTTGGAGTGATATCATGGACGGTAGCAATGATGGCAGTTTTCAACAGCTGGACATTTGCAGGCTTTATATTTATATTTATATTTTGGTTGGCATTATATTTAGGTTAAAAGTTGCTGGTAATTATTTTGCCATACCCTGTATATCTAAGCATCAGTCTCAGATTTAAAAAAATAGGGATCCCTCTCCCCCCTTCCTCCTCAGTGGTGATGTCCACCCAAATCATCAACCAAGTCATCAGAGTGATTGATGTCCCCCTCCCATCTGCCCTCCTCTTCCTCAATAAAATGTAATTACTCCTATTCCACTTAACTATACACTTAAGTTCAATGTTTTTTCAAAAGTTGCAATAAAACATCTCCTCATCTTCCTGTCATTTTTCCAGTTTTTTTTCTAAATCTACAGTCAAAATTGAATTTATTCTTGTGAAAAAGTTCCAGGAATATATATTTTTTGCTTGGATCTTTTACCTTCAACATCCACATCCTGACCAAATTCCTGCTAAGGATGATGGAGGAGAAAGTGTATATGAAGAAGAGGATGAACAAGATGATTAATACATCATTAGAATCATTATATGCACATTATAGTATATCCCACTATCTTGCACCCAACATAATGATAGAAAACAGCAGTAGGGTTTTGGACTGACCTGTCACCCATTCCAGAGTCCCGATCAGAGGCATAGCTGTCCCAAGAAATTCGTTGCAGAAGACGAGAAGGAGAAACACTCTGACTTCTCCGAGAGGCGCCTCTACCCCCCTATGGGACATGTTATATGAAATATATACATTTTTCTGCCAAACATATGTGACATAACATGCAAAGGCATGAAATGAAGGATAGAAATGAATGAATTAGGTTCAAACTTTAAATCATGTCACTAACCAGATGAATGAATGAAGAAATAAATTCAGTGACAGAACAAAGTACATTGCCTCTTTATAAGTAGCAAAAGAAACCCTCAAACACCCTCACCCACCACTATGAATCAATTACCAAAGAAAAACTTGATTTACTTTACTGATTCACTGCAGCATTGGTAATAATCCTTTCAATTACCAAAGTTACATTGTGTGCAGTGTAGAATACAGGAATTGACAGAGTAATTACTCATGGGAATAGAGTGCTAGAGAGGTTAACCTGGTGTAGAAGCTTAGATGCAAGGTCATTCCCAAGGGGGTCAAGCCTTGCATGATCCTCAATGCAGGTATCCAGGCACTGGGGACATGGGATGACCCGAGTCACTAGGAGTTTCCCTTCTGATGTATGCATAAACCGAGTCCCTGCAAATATAATGTCAACTAATGTAGCTGATTACAACTTCCATCTACTATTCACAGCCCTTCAGAACAGCTGTAGAGGAGAGTGATACCACAATGGCAAAAGGCACTATAGTTTTTCATAATGTTTCAGAAATCCAAAGGGCTATGGCTTCAAATTATGCAAGGTTGAAAAAAAAAACATGAAAAAAGATAAGAGGAAAACTACAGAATATCTACCAAGTGTGGGGTACCAGTCCTCAAGGAGGGTGTCAATGTGATCCACAACTGCTGCAAGGAGCTTGGTCACGCAGGCAGGATTGGGGTCCAGGACAGCTGATCCAATCCGATCAGAGGCAGGTTGATTTCTCCGCAGCACCACAGACTGTGATGGGAGGAAGACCTCGAGGATGGCTGTCTCAGCCAAGTCAAGTGGAGTCCATGCAGACTCCTCAAAGGTTAACCCAACCAACATCCTGAAATCTCGGTAGGAACAGGGGTGATAGCCAAGCATTGGAAGCATTTCTCGTAGCAGGAGCAGCTGGGTATCAGCATAACGGAGTTCAATCCCTGTCTGCCAACACTGCCATTCCCCAGCCCTGTTTAGGATCTCAGCAAACTCCTTCTCTTGCAGAACCTGGATCATCATCATCAATTTTCACTTCATATCATATATATACAATTAAATGACCGCTAAATCAAAACAGATGCCCACTACAGCTAGTGGCATGGTATGGCATCATTAATAAATTATAGGTAGAAACAAGAAAGCAAGCCAATAGTTGTGACATTGCAATAGAAAGTCCACATTTTCAATCATGGCACATTATTGGACACTCTGGTATTCATACTGCTACAAGCATTCCCCTCAAGGGAGAGTTATAAACAATAAAGGAATTCCTGCTTGGTAAAGTGAATTATCCACTCAACCCTCTATTGCATAATGATGCAAATTGGCATCAAAGCAAAATTTGAGAACATGAGAAAAAACACAATTATTTTGAGTGTGTATTTTGCCCAACAACGCTAGATAGCATCAAACCTGTATATCCTAGATCATTGCTTCCCCCCCCCCCCCAAAAAAAAAAAAAAAATATATATATATATCGTTGGTGGTGGGATCTCAATCTCATGGTTTTCCCTATATTTAATTTCACTTTTAAAAAATTCAAGAAAATGAAAATGTATACATCTCCTGTGGCTCAACGTTTGCATATACATTTTCGCTCAGGCAATTTCTACTGCAACGAAAATAAATCCTGCAAATTCATTTCAAATAACATACTTCCAGACGATATTCCCAAGCGTATTTCCAGATTCCCTGCAGGATTCCCATGTGACCGGTACTTTCCTAGAAATATCGGCCCTTCAGATATTTATACATTTTCAATTTTCCTCAGGTATCCAATTCGTTGTCCCCCCCCCCAAATTTTTTTTGACAAGTCTCCACAGATTTATATTTCTAGGGAAATACCTCAAGGATCGGACTTTCATTGAATTCAACTCCCCTAACTACGTGTAGGCAGGATTTCAGTTTTCTTTATGTATCATACATACTAGTATTTCACTGGAATGTGTCTTAGAAAACGTTCCACAAAAAGATATATTTCGGGGAATGTACAGTATCACGAATATATGAAATATATGATCCCAAGTAGCACGAGATATTCCAGCGACGTCTAGAAAATGTTCGTGAACAATGTTGCTTCGATGTTTAAATGTACGAACCATCAAATTTGCTAGAATGTTGCACGAGAACATACCACTGATGTTTGTAGGCGACTCAGACGCGATTTGGAATTACCATTGATCACTACCAGATCGACAGCGTCTTCAAGGTTTAGTTCATCGATGAGTACTGGATATCGGATAATAGGAAAGGAATACCTGTACGAGGAACTGCGTGCGTGTGCGTGTATGGGTATGGGAGGACGCACAACACACTATGCACAATCCCAACTCCAGATAACTTCCTCAAAGGTTCACTCAAAATCCTGCGAACTCCCTTTGTCTCGACTTATCCCACTCTATTCCAATACTCCAATCCTTATCCGACTCTCACTCATTCTCTCGCGCGACCCTTTTATACCCCTTTTCAGATATGCGTATTTTAACTTACGGTCACCCGGAAATGTATTGGCCTGTTATAGGCCCTGAAATGGATTGCTTCATAACACTAGCCGACCCGTGGAAAACTTCCACGAACTTCGGGAAGGCATAGGCCAGGGGTGTCAAGCCGCTAGTTGATTCTATCCGGCCCCCGAAGTTCTCTTCAAAGTTGGTTTTGGAAAAGCATCAACCTGTTCGCCACTGAAACTTCGATGTAAGATTTGCTAATGTGGATCCATCCACCGCGCAATGATTCCGTCCGGCCCCAGCTAAATCAGGTGTGAATCCCCTTAACCCAGGCTAAGCGAGTGACGTCGTAAATTCATGAGTTCATTCAGCTCTACATTCAGTTCATTACATTCAGTTCATTACATTCAGTTCATTACATTCAGTTCGTTTGAACGCTCTACGCAGCAGTCGCTCTCTCCCATTCTCGAGGACGGATCCGAGGGTCGCGAAGGCTCGAAGGAAACTGCTCGCTCTCGAGCGAGACGGAAACCCCAACCCGTGGGAGACATCAATGAACTCCGGGTCGGCCTAGGCTAAACGTGTAGCATTTTCGGGTATTCACGAGTTCATTCAGCACTCATAACGCTCTACGCAGCAGCTGTTCGGACATGGTACGTCTTGCGCATAGCCCCCCCCCCACTGGGGTGTTCACGCCTACGACACGGACTTTTATTGAGCGGCACTCATCTCCACCGCTTTTCATGCAGGTCTATGAGTGAAAAATACGATAAAGAAAGGGAATGGTTACTACGCTGGCGGCAACGTCTTTCCTTTCCAAGGGTTTCCTATCCCTCTTGTTCTATCCCATTCCCGCTGCTTTCACCCTCTGGAGTCGCTCTCTTTGTGAGAGTGCCGATCGATACGAGGAGGGGAAAAGGCCTAGGGTGCTCCTGCCGTCGATGGAAGCGTTGTAAGTCGGTGGGCAAGCCGCGTGAAGGCCGAGGAAAGACCTGGAATCGAAATGACGCTGCGGTCGCCCTGCCAAGGCAGCGACACCAAGGATTTGCGAGGAATGGACGGGCTGATTCTCGCCGATCACATCATACGACGATAGAACAATGCGAAGCTCGTCGGTCAGATCTTGCGCTGTAACTTTATTGCCTCTTCGACCCGCTCAAGGATGGACTCTCAAGGACAGAGCTTACAGGACGACGACGGAATACAGTAAAGGACAGGCAAGTGGTTCTTCAGACAACTGCATGAACGTTCTTATAAATCAGTGGAGAAAGTGCATAGAAAAGGGTGCAGGCTAGGTGGAAAAGTAGCTTTATGCACAGTAGGGTGTTGTCGTTTTCCTTGCAAGTGTTCACGAGTTTTCAATACTAAAAAATTGCGAAGAAAAAAAAATATATTTAATCTAATCTAAAAATCAAACTGATCTTTGTAGTTTGAACACGGAGAGATCGTTTTAAATTTTTATATTTATTGTTTCATATATTTTCTGTTGTTGGCGTCAAATGTCGACCTGTAATATTAATTATTTTGCACAAAAAAAAGTGAGACGACATTTCGCAATTTGACGATACTTTAAGAAAGGGAAGTGCCTAATCCATCATTTCCAGCATGGGAATGGTTGCCGAGCCATCCAGTGCGTCCAAGAACATCATTGTGCGACTGCACATCAGGGGAATATAGTACTCCGACATTGCAAATGCTGTTGGGACCTCGAAGTCGACCGTTTACTTCACCTTGAAGAGCTATCGGACTCGAGGCAGCACTGGCAGTCTTCCCCGCAGTGGTCGACCACGTGTGACGACGGGCAGAGTGGATAAAGTCATCCGACTCATGTCGGTCTCCAACTCTCGTCTCACTGCGGTCGACATTTGTAAGGACCTTCCCTTCAGCTACGGCGTCCATGTGAGCCACTCAACTTTGAAAAGACGTCTCACTGCTGCCGGGCTCGAAGGAAGACGTCCCGTCAAGAAGCCGTTGATTTCTGCCTAGAATCGAGCTGCTCGTTTGAGGTTCGCTCCCGAGCATCTGAACTGGTCAGCGGCCGACTGGTCTAAAGTGCTATTCAGCGATGAATCAAAGTTTTCCTTGTTTGGTTCGGACGGAATAGCATACATAGGACGCCCAGTGGGGAAAAGGTTCTCTCCCAGCTATCGGCTTCCCACCGTCAAACATGGCGGTGGGTCGGTGATGGTGTGGGGAGCCTTTTCCAGTCGAGAAGTCGACCCCTTGCAGCTGATCAACGGGACGATGAACGCTGAGGAGTACAATAAGATCCTGGAAGACGTTATGCTGCCGTACGCCAACGCGAATATGGAATCCTGCTGGATATTCCAGCAGGACAGCGACCTGAAGCACACCGCCCGCCGGATCAGGGACTGGCTCAACCGCAAGAACATCGACATGCTCAACTGGCCGTCGCAGTCCCCCGACTTCAACCCAATCGAGCACTTGTGGGAGGAGTTGGGAAGACAGAGCCGAGACCCGAAAGTCAGAAATGCGCAGGAAAAGTTCGAGCAATTGATGAAGCTTTGGAACGACCAGTGATAAATGCAAGAACTGCGTAACACGACTTCCTGAGGATTGTGAATGCCTTCGACACGTATCGACGTACATAAAGAAAGGACAGCCTTTCACGGAAGGACTTCGCCTACGTCAGCATATATGTTAATTAAAAAGACGCTTCAGTATGGCATGAATGCTTCAACATTGATTCAATGTTGACTTGATTTGAAAACAGCAATATTGCGAGAACGTTGTCCGGTCAACGTTACATCAACAGATATCTGGCGAGACATCTAGCGAGACAAGCGAACAAACAACATTTCCTGACTGCGAAATGTGATGGCGCCTACTTGCCCAACGTGGTTAGTTACCATATGTATTCAGTCAGTACTCATCTCTAGTACTTTTGGAGCAGTACTTTTCTCTACAAACGACGCCGGGAAAGGTATTTGACTTCCTGCATATTTTCGACCTAAATGGCAACTCAACCAAACAAGACCGAGGAACAGGGTGATGGGACAAAAAAAAAGTTTGCGAGGTCATATTACTCTATGAGACCACGCCGCTCTATCTTCGAGAATGAATCCGAATCGTTATCACTGCCGAAGGGTGCGTGAAGTGATCACAGTAATCACGCGAGTGTCCTCCTCTTTCTCTTCTCGGCATTTGTTAAAATCGCGTTTTCCTTGGATGCTCTTAAAAAAAAGGGGATTCGGAGGACGGAGGTCGCGTCCAGATGATATTCAAATAACATTTGAGTTATGAAACGGCGAATGCGCACGAATTAAAGGGATTGTTGAAACCTGTCCTGTCAACGTTGAACCATCGTGGATTCAACATTTCTTCAATGCTGAAGAAAATGGATTTCCAATATGGAGTCAACGTTGATAAATGTTGAAGCAACGACGCCATGTTGGTTCCGAACCTTGAATCGATGTTGATATACCGTTGATGTCAACGTTGAATCAATTGTTGATAAAAAATGAACTTTCAATATAGAATCAATGTTGACAGGCAACATGGTTGATACTGCTTGGGTATATATGTGGTTTTCCAATGAAATAGAGAGCTAAAGTTGAAACTTGGCTTAGAAGAACCTGTCCGATTGCTGAATGCAGATCCTGCTATTCAAGTGTGACCTCTCAGGGCAGATTGTGAAGAGATTTGGAGTTAGACACACAAGAAAAAATCGGAATAATTATTTCGAAGGAAATATTCCGTTTTTCTACGTTTTCATGTGTTTTCATTGCGCTGCTGTCGAATATTTAATTTTACCATCATGGAGATTCAAGGTAAACAAACCAAACAATAAAAGCATAAAACCTCATTGAATTCTCTTTCTTTGGCATAAAAACCATAGTTCCAGTCCAAAAGTATTAAGTTGCAGCAATTTTAAAATTGGGAGTCAACTTCCACCCACTCTGGAGACATCTGGGATGTTGCAAACTTTTTTTTGCTGAGTTCAGAATCAATTCTACTTTACATGCCCGAGGAGTACATCTTTTGGGGAAATATATCTTGAAATATTATTTTTTGCTTCAATCAAACTTAGGGATACGGAAACCTGAAATTTGGCAAGACTGCTGCCACATTGAGTTCAGGAAAAATGGCATGTTTCCAAAACATTCCCTGGTGGCATATTTTTTTGAGGGTGGCGTTTTCAAAGAATATATTTTATCCTAATGAACCGGGTAGAAATGGAAATGTCGATACTGGAGTACGCATAACTGACGTTTAGGAAAAATTCGACCTTTGTGGTGCGTCCCCTCAGGGCACAGCTTTTGGGTGGGTCGCTTTCCCAAATATATTTTTCCACCAGCGAAAAGGGGAAACGCATTTGGTTGAACTTGGGTTGGCATGCAGTTCCCTGAGTCTAGATTTCATAAGAAAACAATTTCTTAGTTAAACCCATTAGGGAG